ACAGTTTTCATCTCTGGTTTCATTCATGCATTGATCTGTCTCTTATACACATCTAGATGTGTATAAGAGACAGGGCCCAGGGGGGTGTCATAAGAACCTAACTGCCCCTGAGAGTCGGTGAGATGCGGATAGCACTCTGCTGGAACAGCTTGTTGTCTTAGTGAGGAAGCATAATACAGCTCATTGATGGTGAAGCCACTGCTTACCACTGGGTTTTCTCTTCCATATGTTTCACCACTTTCTCTTCTTTTACAGCAATCCACAGAGCTGCTGGACCAGGGCTGTTCCAGGCATGTAAAGAGGTGCCTGAGGTTGAGCCGCGTGTGCGATGTCCGACAGGCGAGGCGAGGATAACAAGGTTTGGTTTGGTCATTCCCTGGATATCTTAGCCGTTGTCGACGTGACTTCAATATTTTGTGTGATGGCAACAAACTGCCATCTTCGGAAAGACAACCTTCAATATGTGTGTCTGCAGCTACCTTAAGAGAACCTTTTTACCTACCAACTGGGTTAAGTATCGAGGATTCTATAGGACTGCCTGTACTTGTGTGATTCCTCTGTCTTTCCATCTGTCTGTCTGTCTGTCTGTCCGTCCGACTGGTCGGTTGGTCCGTTGGTCCGTCGGTCCATCAGTCCATCCGTTGGTCGCATGCAAACGAGACTTTGCCACCGGAGTTGTGATGCCACCAGGGAGAGCCTTGCGAAGACATCCGCGAACCGAACCGGCTTTCGATGAGAATGAAGCTCAGAGGTGGACCCTACAGGGCAAAACTCGGAAAAGTGGCCTGGAAAACCGTGAATGGTGTTTCCACATGGATTTCCGGACGGAAAGTTGTATATGTATATATGTATAGTCAAACGAGAAGAATGAGGTCCATTGCATATATGTATAGTCAAACGAGAAGAATGGTTGTATATTTGTTTCCACTTGGAGACAAAAAGAATGAGGTCCATTGTTTCAGGACGAGATGCGTTGCTCCTATCTCTCAAACAGTATGGGAATTGATTTCCTTGCTCAAATACGGCGAAGAATGGCCAGAAAAAGAAAAGGCAATGATGGTTGTAAACACTGATCTGGATCTAATGATGGTGGTCAACGCCGAAGTGGACGATGACAATGGCAATCATGATGATCCATAGGCCTGACGAYGATGCTGATGATGACAACCACGACSAGCTCTGAGCATGATGATGCTGAGCATGGTGCTGATGATGATGTGGCTGATAATGATGTTGATGAYATATGATGGTAATGATGATTGACAGAGATGATGCCCATGGGAACGATGATGATGAGGATGATCAATAAAACTCTCTCTCTCTCTCTCTCTCTCTCTCTCTCTCTCTCTCTCTCTCTCTCTCTCTCTCTCTCTCTCTCTCTCTCTCTCTCTCTCTCTCTCTCTCTC